CACTCGGGTCGCGCCCGCGCCGGGCAGCCGGCAGAGGGCGGGGCCGCTCACCGGTCCGCAGCTCGTGCTTGACGGTGAGGAGCTGCTCCCCGCCGCCGTCCGCGCCGGTCCCCGCCAAGCCGCCGCCGCCGCTGCCTCCCTCCTCCTCCTCCATCTTCTCCCTCTTCTGGTCCCTCGGGGTCGCCACGGAGGGAAGCCGGGAGCCAACCGCCTCCCAGCCCCTCAGAGCGCCCGCTGCAGCCGCGGGAGCCGGGGCGCTGTGGCTCCCGAACTCGGACGCAGAGCCGAGTCGCTTTCCCGCTCTGGCCGCGCGGCTCGCTCTTTCGCCTCCTCCCCCTCCGGCGGGCCCGCTAGTACCGCGCAACCAAACCGCCCCCTGCTCCCCGCCTCCTCCCTCAGGCCGCTCCGCCCACAGTCAGCAAGGGGAGCAGCCATGCGGGCCGCCTTCGTTCATTGGGCGGAGGGCGCGCGCATCGGCCAGCGCCGGCGTCCATTGGCCAGGATGCTGTGACGTTTCACGGGTCGCTCCGCCCCTCTCCTCGAATTGTTGCTTGGCGGGGAGGCAGGAGAGGGAGGAGCGCGAACATTCCTATTGGTAGGAGCCGAAGGTGTGCCCCGCCCACCTCCCTTGTTGCGCACGCGCACTCACGATCTTCCCTTCCCTGACCTTCTCAGAACAGTCACACCCCTTATTCCCCAGCTTCGATGTTAGTAAACAATATCTAGTAGTCAGGAGGCGCTCGGAAGCTGTGATTGGCTGCTGCAGAAAGAGGCGGGGAATGCTGTCAGGAACGATTGGTCCGCCAATCACTGCGCAAGGAGGCGGGGCGTAAGGGATACTCTCTCCAGCCACGTGTTTGCAGATCCACCTGAGGGTCCCTGACAGTTCTCCACCTTCAAGGTTGTGACCCACTGGAAGATCGCGTACCCTAAAAAAAGGTATGGCTCGTCCTGGTGAACATTAAGCACATAGAATGGAGTTTTGTGATTGGATGTAGGTAGTGCTTAACCTTTACAAAAATTACACCACCAGCTCCCTAAGGAGGAATTTTGCAAAGGCTAGACATCCATTTTATGCAAGTACTTCCTAGGCGCTGAAAGAGGCAGAGTAATAAAATAAAATAAAATACAATCCCTGCCCCTATCCAATGTTGAACAGAGTAAGAGAAACACAGTTTGTGTATCTACCTAACGAATCTATAATACAAGGCAGAATTTACCATAAAGCAGTCACACAAAACGTTAGAAAACCACGCAGGTGGCAGCAGTTACCCACAGTAGAACTGAGGAAAGCTTTTAAAGAAAGGAAGCAATTGTGATGATCAGAGCCCCAGTAGCATAGGGGTTTAAGTGCTTGGCTGTTCACTGAAAGGTCAGCTATTGGAACGCAATGGGTTGTCTCCTTTGTTGCAGGAGGAGGAGGTGGGGCGGTTGGAGGAGGTAGTTGTTGGGTTTTAGGTGAGATCTATCCTGTTGTGTCTCCTTGAGGGTCTCTCTCTTTTTCTCTGGTCCTCTATCAATCATCAAGTCCCTCTCCAGGCACCGGTTCCTCTGAATAGCATGTCCAAAGTGCATACATGAAGTCTTGCCAGCCTCCCCGTAAGGAGCCTTCTGGCTGTACTTCATTGTTGTTTTGTTATTGTGTACTCTCGAGTCAGAACCGACCCACAGCTGACCCACAGGTAGGTTTTCAAAAGCGGAGATTACCCAGCCTTCTCCTGCGGAGCAGCTGGTAGATTCGAACAGCATGCCTTCTGGATTGCAACGCAGCTGCTTGCCACTAGGTCACCATAGGGACCCCAACCCAAAAAAACCCATTGCTGATGCCTTGGTTCCAACTCATAGCAACCCTCCATCAGTTTCGGAAGCTATAAATCTTTATAGGAGGAGACTGCCCATCTTTTTAGGACGTTAGAGTAGCCGGTGGATTTGAATTGCTGACCTTCTGGTTAGCAACCTGATACTTTATGCCCTCCAGCATCAAGGTTCTTAGTGACCCTGGAGGGCAAAATGAAACTGTTTCTGGGCTACAGTCTTTACTTAATTAATCTTTATTAAATATACTACAGATTGGATTGACAAATCCGTCTTCGAAGATGTATCATTAGAATGCTGTTTAGAAGGAAGGATGGTGAGACTTTGTCTCACATAATTGTTGTTGTCATGTGCCATCCAGCTGACTATGACTCATAGCGACCCTATGCACAATAGCTCTGAAGCCTGACCTATCTTGAGTCAATCTCACTGCCTCCAGCGCCTACCCCCATTACTCCAGTTACTGTATCAATCCATCTCATCCAGGGTCTTCCTCTCCTGCACTGTCCCTCCACCCTTCAAAGCATGATGTCCATCTCTGAGGACTGGTCTCTTCTGGAACATGCCCAGCATATGTGAGATGGAGCTTCAAAATCCTTGCCTCCAAGGATCAATCTGGTTTTACCATCTCCAGGACAGACCAGTTTGTTCTGTTAGCAGTCTATTGTATGTTCACTGCTCTTCTCCATACCACTACTTGATTCTTCTTCTGTCATCCTTAGTCATTGTCTAGCTCTCTGATGCATAGCAAGTAATTGCAAAGACCAGAGCTTGGGTCAGGCACACCTTAGTCTCTAGACTGACATCATTGCCCTTCACCACTCCAGAGAGGTCCCCAAAAGCACATTTTCCCAATGTAATTCATCTTTTGATTTTTCTGACTGCTGGTGCCAAGACTGACTGCTGTAGATCTGAGCAAGCTGAAATTGTTAACAACCTCAGTCTCTTCTCCATCTATGATGGTGCTGCCAATTGGTCCAGTGGTGAGAATCTTTGTTTTCTTGATGCTGAGTTTCTCACATACTTAGGACCTGTTATCAAAAGGCACCAGTCCCTGGAGAAAGACATCATGCTTGGTAAGTAGAGGGTCAATGGAAGAGGAGGATACTCCTATCAAGACAGATCAGCCCAGGGGCTGCAACAAGGGGCTTAAACCCTGAAGCAGACGTGAAGATGACGTAGGATCAGGCCGGGTTTCATTCTGTTTAGCATAGGTTTGCTTCAAGTTGGAAATGACTCTGCGACACCTAAGAACACCAGACCTCTGTGCCAGGCCTTTCTCTCTCAGAGCCCTGGGATGACTTCTGACCATCGGCCTTTCTTTTAGCAGCCGAGTGCTTAATCAATGCACCACCGGAACTCCTTGGACAGCTCCCGCTGTAACTGGGAACCTGGGACTCTCAAAGAAGAGAAAGGAAAGGTGGGTACATGATTGCTGAGATGGAATGAAAAGGAAAGAAAGACAACCTGAAAGGTAAATTCAAGCAGGAAAATTAAGACCCTTGAATGCCAAACTACCACCCACTGCAGGTTGTATTTAGTTCCACACTGGGAAACCTCAGAGAATAGTTAAACTATTACAGCTATTCTCCTGGAAACCATCTTTAGTTACAGTGATGGATAGCCCAAAAGAAAGAGATGTCAGGGAGGGAATATGATGACATGTGTAGAACTAACAGGTTCTGCTCTCTAACAGAGGTATAAATATTGAGAAGGAGTGGATCAATTATGTATCCCTGAATATAATTCTTACAGAATTATGGCATCAAGGATTTATTGTTCAAAATACCATCCCTAGCCATTTGACTTTGCCATGTGGATGGGTGGGATTGTATAAATGGGGTGTGTTATTCTATCCCAGAGGGGTATTGACCAGTCTCGCCATTAAACTGAGTGGGTTCAGTGGTAGAAATTTGGAAACCACCAGCAGAGAAGAAGCAGAGAAGAAGATGCCACATGCATCACTGGGGTCCAGATAATCCTGTGCCACAGAAATCAGGACCTACAGGAGCAGCAGAGAACCAGAGACCATTTGTGATACAGACTTAACCTTGGGACTGCTACCCCACAGAAACAGAGCCTTCAACCACTGGCTGGAGGACTTGGAGGGAGATACCTTAATTGGCAAGACTAAGAATGCTTTGTATCACTGGCCTAAAACTACAAAGGCTAAGAGGCCTTCAACTACATTTCAGAAGCTATCCTGATTGAAAGATTGTATCCTGTTGCCAGCCGGAATTGTAACCTATTAACTTTCTTAATAAACCCCCTAACCTGAGAATGTATAGCTATTGCAACAGATCTCTGACCTAGTTGTATAGTGTGAGTGGGATTGGTGCTGGGATTAGTAGAAAGCAGTGTCGCAGCAGGGTGGGGTGGGGCATGTCCGACCTGAGGGGAATTGGTTTTGCGCTGTAGATGCTGCTGGTGAGGTCAGTTCCCCCATGTGGAGTTAGTATAGGTTAGATACGGCTGTTCTCACACTGACCTTTTCTATTCATGGGTTTGATCTTTGAAACTAAGGGTGGGTTGAACCAGGGATCTGTGAACTTTTTTTGTAAAGGTCCTGAGAGTAAAGTTTCCCTTTTACAGGCCACATGATCACTTGCATAGCTTCTTATATCTGTCATTGTGACTCAGACAGTGAGCACGCACCATGTTCCAGTAAAACTACCTGTGGACATTGAAATTTTAATTTCATAAGATCTTCCCATGTCATGATAGATTAATGGCCTTTCAGTTATTTATCAACTATTTCTTAAAAGGTACAAAGAATTCTTAGGCCATAGGCCTTTAACAAAAACAAGCCATCAGCCAGGATTGACTTTTGGACCTTAGTTTGCCAACCACTGGAGCAGATAGCCTCCGTGAAAAAGAACGATAAGTATGGCTTCCCCACCCGCCTGGTTGTGATAGCCAGGTTACCTTGGTCTTAAGACACTAGTACTAGTATTAGTTGTCAAGTCAATCCCAACTCATGACGAGTCTGTATGTATCCGAGTGGAGCTGTGCTTCATCCAGTTTTCATCAACTGATTTTTCAGAAGTCAGTCAAGAGATCCTAAGGTAGCCCTGAGTGGACTAGAACTTCATACCTTTCCTATATCTGCTGAGCATGCTAATTGTGTGGACCACCCGGGGGCAGTGCTGCAGACACAGTGGAAGCAAAGTGGATCTAATACTTCTCTCATAGAGCCTGGGGTCTAGTTGTTAGAACAACTGTGACTCATAGCAACCCTGTGAACACCAGCTGTAGACCTTACTCTCTTGCACCACCCTCACAACCTCTGTCATATCTGTGGTAGTCACGCCATCAGTCTGTCTTGTGGAGGGTCTTCCCTTCTTTTACTGGCCTGTGCCAGAATGATTTCTCTCTCCTAGGACTGGTTCTTCCTGAGAGTAGCCCCAATATGCTCACTTTCTTTGGTACATGAGACAAAATTGCACCATCCTTGCCTCTGAGAAGCACTCTGGTGACACTTCCTTCAAGACAGATGGGGTTTAGTTGTTTTTTGTTTGTTTGTTTGTTTTTTCATTTGGTAGCCATG